CACTATTTTAGCGAGCACCCCAAGACATCAATGAATGTTAACCCATCAATCCAGCTATTTTATATAAAACAGGTGGCATACCTATTTAGTCTAGTGGTCCCATTATACATAAAATATGGCATCCTTATGCGAGGTATAACTAGATAATAAATTTTAACAAACCTATCCTTTGTGGTATCAGATAAGTTAAAAATTATTTATCTAAGTTATATCTCTATGGTGGAAGACCTTATGATTTATATTTCTTAAAAAATTAATCTATCTACACTTCTATACAACTTTTGTTTATTTTAATTATAACTGAGAGAAAAATAACAACAGTCATTTCTAATAATTCTAAACTGTCTTATTTAATAAAACAAATCAGAACATTCTGGACCTTACAGTAATTTTTCATGTATTACTTTAATCACATGAATTATTGAATTTAAACAATTTAAAATCAACATGCATCATATCACAAGTATAAGACAAACAATATTTCGAAATATACATGATACAATATCCATTTCTAACAATTCACTAAGAGTATGATAATCTTTTCAACAAAGGAAACTAAACTATACTTGCATATGGACTTTTGAACAAATTCTGTAAGTGCTAGGGACTAATCAAAAATTAGTCTATATATTCGATGGATCTTAAAACAGTTTCAAAATCTATCAGGAGGGTGAAGCTAATTTCACATCAAAATTAATATATACTAGTAGTCTCAGAACAATTTCTGGATCAAACAGGGGTCTGTAACTAATTTTACAGTTATTCATCAATACTGGTGGACTTCAAAACAGTTTCTGAATCAAACAGGCGTCTGATAGCAAATTCATCAATATTCACAGACTCCAGAACAGTTTCTGGGTTTCAGGGAGCTATAACTAATTTGATAGGCCGTGTTGAGAACCTGATGGACTTCAGAACATTTTCTGGATCAATCAGGGGTCTAATAATAATTTTACAAGTAAAATCAATTACCAGGTTTCGGGTTTGAGTCTGTTTGCGGGTCAAACCCGTTTCATTAAACTTAAGTCTTAATGGGTTTGGATACATAACCCTTTATGAAAATAACCCATTAAGATCATCTTCTCAATGAAGACCTAGGGTAGGGTTTTGCTATAATTGTGGGATAGCCACCACCACCAATTGTCCGGCGGCCGGCGGCGGCGGTGAGCCACCGCGGCCGCGGGGAAACCGCACCGCGGCTACTCCGGCGACCATCTCGGCGATCAACCATTTTTTTTTGTTTAATATTGTTGTGAGATCAAATCTCAACTCCGGTCATCTCCCCTCCGCCGGCCCATCCAATAGGCCACAACTACATTGATAAAGTAATTATACACAATTTAAAAACTCTATTTAGATCAAATCTAACAATAAGCTAAATATTACAACAATTGAAAAAGAAAATTCTTTGATCTAATCATAAGAATTTTAACCCATAAACAATAACCCACTATTGTAACCTTGATTTGCAGGTTTATGAACAGTACCCACTCCGGCCGTGAACAGTGTTCTCGGCGATGAACAGTACTGCCGATCCGTGAACAGTTACCCCGGAAGATGAACAGTATTTCCGGTGATGAACAGTACCGTCGGCCGTGAACAGTGTTTCCTGGCCGTGAACAGTACCCGGACTTTTCAACCATTTTTTTTTCAATTTAATCCAATTAAAAATGTCAAAATAGATCAAAATAAGATAATTTAATCCGATTAAATTATTACAGATTGGATTCTGAACCCGCTCTGATACCATTTGTTGGAATCATGACATACAACGCAGCGGAAAAAGCATATCATGACTATTAATCAAAATTAATTAAATATTAGAAGAATACCTGAAACGCTTTCCGAATTTCTACAATAATCTGTCCCGAGATCAATCCAAAATAGCTTCCTCAAGAGAAAAAGCCTCCAATTGAAATCCACCCGTCACCGTAGAGGAGCAATACTGAGAGATAGGTTCTCAAAAATCTATTTCTTCATATTATCTTCATAAGATTTTGAATCTCTTCTCTTAACCTCTCATAAGGCTACATATGAACCCTATTTATAGGATTACACTAGTCTTAGAGATTTTAACTTTAAACAATTCATAATTATCTAGAACTCTATCCATAACAATTAAGGATAGAATAGATTTGTTCAAAAACTTTATCCATAACAATTAAGGATAGAAATAGATTTATTCAAAAACTTTATCCATAACAATTAAGGATAGAAATAGAATTGTATTGCATGTATACCTCTTCTAATGACATTAGTGAGACCAATTGGGTCCCATATCAAGAACCAATTATTAATCAAATTAATAATTTTAATTTAACAATCAAATCCCTATCCGACCAATTGTTCATAAAAGCTCTTCCATAATATGGGATTAATTATTAATAAATAATATCTTACATTCAATCCCTTCCAGTATCATTTATTTTAGGCAACTCTTTTAAGCAGGACAACTCACCTATTTGCTCATGCCTAAATTTGCAATTCCCATGAACATAAATAAAAATTATTTTGAAACATCAAAATATTTTATTTTTTATAAGAAAATAAATTTTGTAAAAATATTTTCAAAGCTACCTGCCGTCAGGAATTTAATAGCTTCATGGGAATGCATAATAAATTAACTCATCATAATGAGCATACTGGATCCTATCTAGACATCCATCATTTTCCTAAATGAAATTTAGCAACCCAATGTTTCAGGTTGTGTAGCGCTTGCTAAACAAGCTTAACCATCACATCAAAGCATACTAAATTATCAAATCGAAAATGATAATATCATCAAGTCAAAGGGACCATGTAACAATTTGAACTCTCTATCTCTTAGGTGACTCATCCTAGAGAATTCAAATACGGTCTAGTGCTACACACATCATAATGCGTGCTTATGACATACACCCGGAGAATCTCCATTCTCGATGGTTGAGACCCACCACCATATCTCATATATCGATGTCATGCATAATAACCTGTTATAACAAAGTTATCCTTTACTAGTTATAGGTTAAGCACAAATTTAAGAAATTTCTAAGTTAGATCATATCTCCAAGCAAGTGACCATCACAATGCATGATCTAACAAAATAACTTCTAAGGATATATATAACAATTATATAAATAATAACCAAATTATGTGCAACAATTAAATTTATTAACATTACAATATTATTACATAATTTGTATTGGATGTTCAAGGGCAAATTATTATTACTATTCCAGCACTTGCCAATTACACTTGTACAGCAAAACCATGAAGAATCACAAGGCAACAAGAATTTTGATCTTTGAAGTCCCAAGGAAAACATATATTCTACACATGAACAGGACTGCAAAACAGAAGCTAAAACACCTGAGCATGATAAAACCTCAAATCTTGATACGACATCACTCTTCACCCCCTTATTCCTATAGAAAGTCCAACTATGTACATACTCTTGACTGCACTTGAGTTGTTCGGCGACAGGTGTTCGTCTGCTTGCTCAAACCTGGATTCCGATTCTGTCAGCAACCTGCATGGGTTAACACACAACATTCAAACCTCAACCCCACTTAACAACACAGAGAAGCCAGTGAACCCAAAGTTATCTTTAATTTTCGGGTTACACTTTACAACCCTCCCTCCGGTGGGGGTTGCCGAAAACCCCCAAAAGTTTATAAATTAGAGAAAATCCCTCTGAGCTTTTAAAATTATAAAGAACTACCACGACCTAGTAAACATTGTCATAAACAAGTGACACATAGAAGCTTGAAAGGTGTACACTACCTTTGGAAATAGGATGGCCGGAAGTTAACATAGCAGACACATTAGGCACATGTGGGCAAAATTGTCCAGATCAGACATATTATGTTACCTTGTAAAATTATACAAAACTACCATGAACAACTATCATAAACAAGTGAAACATAAAAGTTAGAACATGTAAACTACTCTTGGAAATAAGATTGGGAAGTTAAACAGACATATTGAGCACATACGGGCAAACATGTCCAGAACACGCAAGTGACAACTTAATCTAACTGCCTTCAGTCATGGTATTCTACTTATAAAAGTTCAGCGGGTTTTCTATAATTTGACAAATAATAGAGGGATTTTGTGAAATATACTAGTAAGTACCTCCTTGAAGGAATGGACATCGCTGCCCCATAGCCAGGCATCACAACCTGCATCCCTGGCACCCCATATGTCATTCCTGCGATCATCGCCCACATGAACTGCGTCCTCTGGATTCACTCCCAATAATTCACATGCCTTCAGAAATATGGTCGGATTTGGTTTTTCCGCTGCTACCTGTTTCAACAACAGTAGTAGCATTTAGAAACTAAGAGCAAAACCTAAGATGTGATAGAAACAAACAGATAAAACTGCTGCACACATGAACTTATAATATAATCATTATAGAAAGGCAAAAGGAAAATGAATAGTATTAGGCAAGGTTTCAAACATCAGATATTGGGGAAATATCGGAAAGTCAAAATCCATAGTTGATTGTGGCTATCAGGGCAAATCTGGGATATGTAATAAATATCAAAGCGTCATATCAGATGATGTGCATACATAATATAGTTACCTAAAATGTAACCTAACCAATACCTAAAAGGTTAGACCAATACCTCAGCCGATACTGCAATTGCATCAAACCAGTGATCACACTTGAGAGCCTGTAAAAGAGGCCGAAGTCTGGTGTCAAAATTTGAGACAACAGCTGACTTCACTCCGGATTTTTTCAGAGCTTTGAAAACGTTTTCAGCTTCAGGATCACACAGATGCCAAGCCTAGCAAGACAACACCAAACTGACTTAATACGGATTATATATATCATACAGCATATTCTTCAAGGATAAAGTTGTGGCCACCTTGTCAGTTGTATAATACTGATATAACTCTTCAAAGTACTGAGAGTCTGAACAACCTGTAGAATTACTGACTATGAACTGCCAAAAGGGTCTCCCGTCATCCACATACCTTCAATTGGAATCATAAATAAATCAGAAGAAACTTAAATGTCATAATATATTGAAATGTGTAATCAGGAACAACAAAATTTGAGGATATAATACATGATGTCTGGTGTGAAATTGCTAAATGAAAATCAGAAGAACAATTCCTAGGCAGTACACCATTATTCAGTGATTCAGTGTCTGCTATCAAGTCAAAACATAGAAGGAATTTAACTGTTTCTGAAACCTCAAAAATAAGTTCAAGCAGACTCATCAATCTTGATCAATTTAGTGTAAGAAAATACGGTAATTAAGATTTAAGAGTCACAGTTTCTTATTTCAAATAACACTAGTGGAAGAGAATCTGAATAAGCCACTGCCTTATGAGGCATTTCTACCTTAATATTTAACCAGCAGCATTAATGAACAGAAAAGACATGTACCTCGACCATAAGAAATACTTTTGAGGATGGCATAAACGCTATGAACCACTGCATAATTTCACAAATAATATATTGCCGGAGTTAGCAAAGGAGTACAGCCACATATATCAAATTTCCTTGCCATCTGATGTGCTTAAGAGCATTATTCGCTTATTCTAGGAGAACCGGAATTTGACATGTTAAATAATCCTCTATGTACCATTGTACAGAATCCTGGGCACATGAAAAGCTTTTTGTTTGCCATGTTTTCCAGTTTACTATGTCTCAAATATAAGTTTATAGAAGGATATTCATAATTTTATTCAATATAAATAAGTTTTACACTTGTACTATTACCATGCCTGTACCATTCACTTCTCTACGATTAAAATTCCCCTAATTTTCATTCTTGACGAGCTCTTGAACAACGTGAATGAGCTACTTTCCCCATATGACACAATCCCAAAGAAATTTTCAAATTCACCAATAAAAACTCAAGTTTAATTTGGATGTCCATATTCCTCGTTGATTACACATTCTCCAGCATATGTGGTTTAAAAATATCATTGATGTTATTGGTAGGCTTCCTTTATGTGAATTCAATGATATGTGAGCTTCAGCAGATCAGTTGTCTAAAATAATCCATCTTAAATGGTTGCCAATGGAAATACAGCCTAATGGGCATTGATTGCAGATTCACAAACCTACAGCAGTTATGTACTGTTAAGACATCAACAACATAATTAAGTTACACAAGTCACCTTGATTAATGATAACTTCAGCTTAAATCTGTACTTTTCTTTTATCTCACTTAGCCTTAAATTGCAACAAAATAATCATCTTTTCTCCTGCTCAATTTCTTTTCAACGAAATCATTTAATTAAAAATTATTAAACTGTCAGCTTCAAACATCTCTGGAAAGTATTGCTTCATTTAATCAAATTCTGTTTTACCAGTAATCTGATGTCAACAGAAAGCAGAAGGATAATAATGGAAAGTCTTGAATTTATAAACTTGGCGTTTTTATCGGAGAGGTATAGCAAGATTCGAGCCATGGACTAATCAATTAAAGGACAGCAGACGACAACCCTTGAAATTAAAATGGTTGAAAAGTTTAAAATCTCGAGAATTCTCCAAACCAAGGAAAGAAATCAGGACATATCCGAGTCACCTGCTTCATATGATTCAGTGAAGGTAAACTATCTAGCTTTCTCCACATTAATAGTAGTAAAAGAATTTCCCAATATCAATGAAAGTGATTAACTGAATTAATGGTCCAACATTTCTGCTAATTGAAACACCAGATAAAAGTGGTGCTGTTCATATCTTTACAAATAGGGACAAAAAAGGATAACCCGTGATTGGTATGAGTTTAGATTAGTTAGAGATATTTACCAAATTAGTGTTAATTTCTGAGGTGTCAAACGCTTTTGCTGAAGGAAATATCCCTTGCGGGACTATCGATTTTACAAACAAAATACTACCAATTAAATCACCAAACTAGAATTGAAATCAATAAAATAATGAATAAGGGGACTAATCAGTACACAAACCTGAGCCTTGATCTCCCCCAAGGCTGACCATAAGCCCACCTGTACCTATCCAAGATCTCATCTTCCGAATACTTAACCCCATACTTCTCCCCAATTTGCCTGTAAATCTAAACAGCCACAGAAACCCAAATCACAATTTACAAACCCTAACCCTAATACCAACAAGAAAAGGTCAATGCAGCATCGAGATTTCACCTGCGCCATTGGCTGAGAAGGGACGACGAGAGTCCCTACGGCGTCGACGAGCACCGCCTTGTGCGTGATCCCACCGTACAAAGCCCTCCGATACTCCTCGTAACCTTCGCCTCCGCCGCCGCCGCCGCCGCCTCCGAGGAGTACCTTGAGGCTGGGTTCTTGCAGGATCTTGGCCGTGAGAGCAGCTGCGAAGCTCTGAGAAGAGAAGCTCTTAAAACCCTAGCCATCCTCTCTCTTGATTTTAATGGTGATTCTTGATCTTTCTTCCTTCTTTTGTTCCCCGTCTTTCATTACAAGCAGAAAACATTTGAAGGGAGTTGCGGAATTTAAAGAACTGCTCATTCTTTTGTAGTTGATTGATGATGGCTGACATGTACAGAGGTTGGGACTTAAAAGTGTGCTGCAGATTGCTAGGTGGCCGCGTAATTTGTTTTTCCCTTCTTTTTTTTTTTGGGTAAAATTTTGTCAAGGTCCCAAAAGTAATATCTTCACGTGCTACAACACTTTTATTTTTTTTCTTTTATTTTTTTCCATGTGGTTCAGCCTCAAGAAGTATAACATCTTATGCTGTAGCCATCTTTTAGCAATTATTACTTGTCAACTCAGTATAGAGAGAGGATAAAAAATACAAAACCCTAAAATACCATTATCTCTTTCATGTTAGGTCTATTTAGAACTAATATGAACTCTTATTAGAACTAACATGAACTCCAATTAGAACTAACATGAACTCTTATTAGAACTAACATGAACTCCAATTAGAACTAACACGAACTTTTATTAGAACTAATTTAATTTATTTTAAGTCTAATTTAAATCATGTTATGTCTAATTCAACTTATTTTAAGTCTAATTTAATTGGACTTAACATGAAATTAGACTTAAAAAATTGAATTAGACTTAACATGATTTAAATCAGACATAAAAGGAATTTAACATGATTGAAATTAGACATAAAATTTTGTGTTAGGTCTAATAAAAGTTTATATTAAGTCTAATTTCATGTTAGGTCTAATAAAAAATTGTGTTAAGTCTAATTTCATGTTAGGTCTAAAAAAAGTTCGTGTTAAGTCTAATTTTATGTTAGGTTTAATAAAAGTTTGTGTTAGGTCTAATAAAAATTCGTGCTAGGTCTAATAAAAGTTCGTGTTAGATCTAATTGGAGTTCATGTTAGTTTTATTTCGTGTTCGTATTAGTTCTAACTCATGTTAGGTCTAATTCATGTTCATGTTAGTTCTATTTCATGTTCGTGTTAGTTCTAACTCAGTTCGTGTTAGTTTTAATTCATGAATTAGAACTAACACGAACTGAGTTAGAACTAATACGAACACAATATAGAACTACCATGAACTAGAACTAACATGAGTTAGAACTAACACGAACACGAAATAGAACTAACACGAACTCCAATTAGACCTAACACGAACTTTTATTAGACATAACATGAAATTAGACCTAACATGAACTTTTATTAGACCTAACATAAAATTAGACTTAACACGAACTTTTATTAGAACTAACACGAACTTTTATTAGACCTAACATGAAATTAGACTTAACACAAATTTTTATTAGACCTAACATGAAATTAGACTTAACACGAACTTTTATTAGACCTAACACGAAATTTTAAGTTTAATTTCAATCATGTTAAATTCCTTTTAAGTCTAATTTAAATCATGTTAAGTCTAATTCAATTTTTTAAGTCTAATTTCATATTAAGTCTAATTAAATTAGACTTAAAATAAGTTGAATTAGATATAACATGATTTAAATTAGACTTAAAAGGAATTAAATCAGTTCTAATAAAAGTTCGTGTTAGTTCTAATTGGAGTTCATGGTAGTTCTAATAAGAGTTCATGTTAGTTCTAAATAGACCCAACATGAAAGAGATAATGATATTTTTGGGTTTTGTACTTTTTTCTCTCTTTATGCTTAGTTGACTGGTAATAATTGCTAAAAGAGTGCTACATCATAAGATGGCATACTTCTTAGGGCTGAACCACATGGGGTAAAAGTGAACGGGCTGCAACACATAAAAATATTGCTTTTGGTGCATTGACACAATTTCCCCTTTTTTATTAATGTCTGCTGGGGATGGATATGTACAAGGGTTTTCTCATGTTAGACCCTAAATTGTATTCTAGTTTAATATTGAGCCTCAAATCTTCATATTTGCAATTTAAAACACAATTTGATTGAGTTGTTTCAAAGTTAAATTGCAGTTCAATTTTTACCATCAGCACTTGGTACCCTAGATAGTCATTTTCAGAAATTTAAAATTACAGATAACACCTCTCTCCCTCATGAATGTACATGGCCAAGTGCAAATAAATAAACTGAGAGGGGTTATGTCCTACTTATGTTACTGATTGTTGATGTCAGATATCAACAGAGAATTTTAATGTGGATTATCTTTAGTTTTAGAGTTCCTCAATCTTCCTCGATGGGACCAGAGAAGTCAAGTCCTGCACAGGAAAATTATATAAGAGGATCGGAGTTGGGATCTCTAGTGGTTTATCCAACGGTTAAGTCAACAGAGAGCTTAAATGGAGGAGAAAAGTAAGATTGTATTGTGTTTATTTGCAAAGGATCGCTTACAAGGAGTAGACAGCGCATCTATTTATGTCACGCCCTCAAGGTTTAATTTTGGTTTAAAACCTTGAGGTTACGTAATGCGACACAGTGCAGTCAGTCATAAGTTTCTAACGATTAATTTTATGGCTACATACCAATATTAAATTATCCTAACTAACACATTTAGCCAAAAATATTGCTTAGATCTTTGTTCCGTAACTCATAAAGATACTATTATTTTAACATTTTACACATAGTTTATCTTGTAAATATTGGACATGCCTACAGCCCAAAATACATCTCCAGAGTTCTTATTCACGTACAACCGTATATGTACACATTACGTACCAGTACTTACTATTAACACCAGTCAATAAATAAGTACTTGCCCTCTCGCCTTGCCTAACAATTTTTTTGCTTCTAAAAGATTGACCTTCAGATATTCACGATCTACTCTAGACTTTATTCTAAAAAAGGTAATAATTAATGGGATGAGTATGATGGCTCAGTAAGTAATGCAACTACTTCTTAATTTCCAGATTTACACTAATTCATATCATAGATATCAGTAACATATAAATGACTATGGTAGGATAATTCCACAGTAAAACTGACTTAAGAAAATAAAATGAAACTTTTAGAAAATAATGAACACTCTATACCATGACATGCTATTTAGAGGTGTACATTCAACAATTAACTTGTCATGTTAGGGAAAATATATTAAATGCACAATAATTCAGGCAAGGTTTTATCTTTCCAAGTGAATACTTTTTATTGTTATTCTTATATTCTACCATCTAGGCAAGTGTTCAGTAATCCCTGATGGTGTTTCCCAACAGATCCAATAATAATACAATACAGTAATGATTCAGTAATACCCCTGAGTTCAATAATCTCCATGAACGTCTCCAGAGGAGCTAGCTAGTAAAACCTCCTTGAACGTCTTCAAGGAGTCAGTAAAATACCATTCGAACGTCTCCGAGTGGTTCAGTAATAACTCAAGGGTTCAATATCATTTGTTTGACCAAAGTTTCTCAATCAGTATAACCACACCGGTGGGTCCGGTAACATTAATAGTAACAATAATTCCTAATGGCTAGTGGCTTTATTTTACAGTTAGGTATTCAATTTAGATATTTATAGTTATAAGTATTCAACAATGATTCCTTTAGAATTCTTTTTATAAGATTGTGAATATGTACTCATCTTTATGACTAAGACTATAAATCCCTTTCCTTAAATTTTTGTCATTTCTTTATTTATTTTTGTAACTCCACTTGTGTGAAACAAAACTTATATAAAGTAATAATATATACATGGTTAAATGCTATCCACTCTCAATTAATTTGTTTGTCAATGTATTATTATTTACTTAGTTAATTATTATATCTTCATGAAGCCATCTAGTATTATTATTATTATTATTTTAAGCTTTTCTCGTTCATTCATACCTCATTATGTGAATGAATAACAATAGAAAAGTGGGTTAACCAACATGTTTGTGACAATATAAGTGATTTTCATAGGTTAAAAGGATAAATTTACATACCACCACTTCCATTATTAGTAATTATCCTATAGTGATGAGGCATGACAAGTAAGTTTCTTGAAACTGTACAAGTAGCATCATGTTCATAACTATGCAGCGGTTGCAAGTCTTAGAAAAACATCGAGATAGTTATGTTGAAATTCTCTAAATTGATCTAAGAAGTTGACTAACACCTTAATTGATGATAACAACACATAGATTAGCAAACTAGTAAAGGTTACTCTAGAAATTAAAAAGAGGATGAATCACTTACCTTAATCTTCCAGTTTTTTACTTGTACTCCTCTGTCCTCTCCGATTTCTCTGCTCTTTTCTCCCTACCTCCTTTACTAGAATTTCACTTCTACATGTATATACCCCTTTTTTCTTTCTCTCTTTTTTTTCTTTTTTCCTTTTATTTGGTGTAGTAGTTAGCCTAACTGAGACCCCTATATATAGTCATAGCCTTGGTTGGTTTTTATATATTTTTTATCCTTCTCATAATGATTCACCTGGACGCCTCATGGTCATCATAATTCCTTATGATGATTTACCTAGACACCTCATTCTTATGTATATGTCTAAAATATTAAATATATATTTCGTGGATAGTCGTGTAAAAGATTATACTTAGATAAGCATGAGAACAAAAATATATTCATGGATAAGTGTGCATGAGCTTATATTATAAATAAGCCTAAAATTTAAATAAATAATTTATTAATATGCGTGCACATGCTTATCTTATAAATAAATATGAGATTAAAATAATAATATAATAAGAGGTATGATGCCTATAAATCAGAGATGAGACCTCATTTAAAGGGAACCTTTTGGTCAAATATTTTCTCATCACTTACTCATCTTTCTAACATGTCACATACAAAGCCCCATATTCCTTCACATATTGACTCACTTCCATTGTCTAAGAAAGCCACCTTGTCCCCTCACTTTAATCATATATATAGTTGTTATTTTTTAAGCTATTAATTAAACAAATACACACTCTATACTATAATAATCAATTATTTTATACTTAATGTTTGAGTAAATTTGAAGTATAGTTAATATAGTTTTTTGTCATCATATCTGTGTAGAGTTTCACAAGCACAGGTGGTTATGCATACACCTTTATACTTAATATTAGTTAAATATGTTCGGGTATTATAATTTATAGCAGAGTCAGGAGGTTAGTTTTGTAATTTCGGTCGAGTCTAATCAATCAACT